TCCTAACTCAGTTTTCGTCCCCCATTGGACTTGAACTGGCAACCTTATGATTGGTGACCTGGGAGCGTAACCACTTCGCTACCGACCCACAGGTCACATTTTTATTTTTTAATATTAGAATAGCTCAATCTTTAATATAATTTAAATAATTATTAGTTTAATAATTATTATTAATATTAGAAAATGTATTTAATATTCATAATTCAATTTGTTCATTATTAAAGACTATATTATCATCTAATTTTACAATATTATTACCAATATTAGTATATATTGGTTCACAACCTTTGCTAATTTTTAATAAATAATCAGCAAATTTTTTTTTTTTATCCTAGCTTTGAAGTCTCATATTAATTGTTAATGCTAATGTTCTAATATATTTCTATAAATAAGAAGATTTAATACAGACATTAACAATTTATACTTGAGTTCCTTAAGATACAATAGGCAAAATTTGCCTAAAGTCACCTCCAATTACAACAATTTTTTCTCCAAATAGTTCATCATTTTCTATTAGATCCTTGAGTGTTCGATCAAGTGCTTCAAATGCATATTTGTATACTATTGGTCTTTCATCCAAATAATAAGCTTACTATTTTGTATTAAATTAGCCAAATCAGACTGTTTATTAATATTTAAAGTTGTAGTTTCAGTAACTTTTAAAGGAATTTTAAATCTAGAATATGCAGTTTTTTCACTAGTTAATAGTAAAGCTGCAATTTCAGATAAAGCAACAGCAAGAGCAATTCCAAAACTTCTTCTTGTTCATGCCAATAGCATGTTAAATAAAAATGTTTTTCTTGTACCTCCAGGTCTATTAACAAAAAATACTTTTTGTTTAGTTGTATTGTTTTCATTATTTGTATTATTTTCATTTAAAGTTTTAATAATAATACTATAAATTAATTTTTGATTAATATTTAAAAGATATTCTTTTTGTAATATATAATTAATTTCATTTGAATCAAAATCAACTTTCTGATTTCATATACTATATTCTTTAGTATCTTCAACCAAACTATAATCAGATGCAGGAAATGAGTAATCAGTTAAATGTTTTTTATAATATGATAGATATTTTTTAATATCTATTAATGTTTTGGTAATGATTACTTGATATTCATCTGCAGTTAATTCATTTTTTTTTGTAAGTCTTTTTTGTTTTCTTTCATAATTTTCAACTAAAAAAAGTACATTTTCATAAAATAATTTTTTTGAATTCAATTTCTGTAGATCACAAAATAGTAAGATTGAGGCAAATAATTGTTATAATTTTGATAACATTTTAAAAGATGCAGCTTCCTTAATGCATTTATCAAATTCATTATTTTCTTCATCTAATAATTCAAGTTGGTGAGCTGCATCTTTATATATATTATAAAGTATTCCATTTACAGTTCAAATTGCTTTAAAATTAATAGCATCTTTAACTTGAGCTAATAACATTTGCAAAAAGAATCTTTCTTTTCATGTGAACTACACATATACATTCTAGAAATAATTTTTTTACTACCTCATTTTCTTCGTTTCTAGAATCTATTATTCTAAACAAAAAATTTTAGAAAATCTATATATCATAAATTTATTATATCAGAATTATCTTGATTTGCATTGTACATATCAAAATATCTTGTTAATTTTGTATTAAAAGATTTTGCCAATACAGTAGATATTTGTTCATTTTAATTAACAATAATAGATTGCTGATCTTCTAAATGAACTGATAATCATTCAACTTTATATGATCTTTCTTGCAAGCTAAAATTAAATAATCTCCAACATGTTTCAATAGCAGAAACATATCTTGCATTTATATATTGCTTAATTTTATTTTTAGAATTTCCAATTTTAATAATAGCTCAATCAGATCCTTTATAAATATATTTGTAAAGATATTTTACTAATTAAATACTTGAGCATATCTTTATATTAATATAACAATTATATTTTTGACAAAGATATGAATTGTAAGAAACAATCTATCTATTATCAATAATATATTATTCTTTTTTAATTGTCCTTCCACTATCTCTTCTTCAGTAAATTAGATATCCAAATTTATTAATTAATGTTATTGTAGTAAACTCTTTATAATAATGTTTACTACATTTATCATTTTCCATATATATTGAATTTGGATTTAGTTTATTACAGAGGCCATGAACTATATCTTTGGTTACTGTTTCATAAAGCAGAGGTTGAAAATTTTTATCAAGAATTCTGCACAAACTATTTTATCAAAATCTTTAAGTGTTTTTGGCTTATCTTCAGATTCTAATATCATAAAAATATATGCATGTAGCAGTCTTCTTTTTTGAAATTCAATTGTATAAACATGTGCAATAATTCTTTCAAGTATGTTATTTATAAATAAATCTTGTGTAAGTACTTGAAGTTTTTATTTAAAAACTCTAGCAACTATATCAGGTCTGTTAGAAGTTTGTTGTTTTTTATTTTCAGATCTGCTTAATAATTTATAGATTATTTCTGACCATTTGGGATTGTAAGTTACAGTAACAAATAAATTAGGTTTGCTATATTCTCTAACAATTGTCATAGAATCTTAATACAATTGTTGTATATATTGTTAAGATTCAGTAAAAGATAATGTTAAAATAACTTTTTTGCTAATATTTCCTATAGTAATATCATCAGAATCAACAATGTCTTGTAGATCTGAATAAATTTCAGATCTAAATTGTGATTGATTTTTTCTATACTATCGTAAAGTATTTGATTCCTATTTAACATATTAATCTACTAAATATTGTTAAAATAAACAGTCAGAAAGATATAAAATATTTTGTGTTTTGTTATAATTTTGAACTTGAATTCTATTAACAACAAATTCTTGAATTGTAACTTGTTTTGTTTTTTGCTTTAATTGGTGTACTTGAATTTGATCCAAATCTTCATCTTCTAATATAATTTTATTTTTACTTTCATTATCAATTTCAATTATTTCTTAATTATATGCAACTTCTGTTCTTTTTTTTTTAATTGCAACTATTTCTTTACTAATTTCAATTTTTGTTTTTCTTTTTTTAATATTAAATCCTGTACTTATACTTAATACAGATCTAACTAATAAATTTTCAAATGGAAAAAAACTCTTTCTGCAAATTCATTACACAAAAATTAACTAAAAATTTGTCTGTCAAAAATACTTATAACTATTTATTTTACTAAG